ACCAGAGAAGGGGGGAGGCGAGCTGTCTTGCACCGTCCCTGGGTGCGTGGCTGTAGAGAGGCGGACTGTCATCGGTGTCGATGTTGTTGTCGGTGCTGCTTGACACGGCACCTTTGGGGGGGTGATGTCTAGAGGGGGGTGATGTCTAGAGGGGGTGATGTCTAGGGGGGGTGGACATCATGGCGTGGGCCATGTTTTTTCCCCAGGTCATGGCGCCTCTTCTTATTTCATTACGCCCCTGGCCCCCCCGTTTGGCCGCGCACATGCCGCCGGCCATGATTTGCACCCCCCCCTTTCTTGGACGCCCCCCTCTTGGCCTCCCCCGACTTGTGGCCCAGTCTCCCTCCCCCGGCAATCAACAACCCCAGCGACCCCACAAGGGGGGCCTTTGACCCCCACCCCCGGGGAGGTCGAAGGCCCCCGTGTGAGGTTTGCAGGGGATTTCTGAGGATCCCTCCGACCCTTCGGATTCCTCAGGGATCCAGAAGCTTCAGGATCCCTCGGGATTCTCTGGGGATCCCACGAGAAGGATTCAGACGATTTCTGAGAACCCGTGGGGATTCCTGAGGACCCGTGAGGGTTCCTCTTGCTTCCTGAGGCCCCAGAAGGATTCCTTATGATTCAATCGGGTTCACAGGTTTCCGAAGGATTCCGGAGGACCCTAGAGGACCCTTCAGGATTCCAAAGAAATCTTGAGGTTGTCGAAGGATCCCTGAAGTATCCTGAGGATTCCCAGGGTTCCTGAGGATTTCTCTGGATCCCTCGGGACACTCACTGGTTCCGAAGGATGCCTCAGGAATCCAAATGGCTTTTGATGAGGCTTCCTCAGATTTCCTGAGGAACACTCTTGGGGCCTCCTGGGAGCTTGCTGGGAGCCTTTTGCATGTATCTTGGGGGCCTCCTTGGCCCTTTGGGGGGCCTTTGGGATCTTCTCGGGGGCCTCTTTGGCCGTCTGAAGGCATTCCTGACCCGTCGGACGCTGTCGGAAGCCGTCTTGGGGGCACCACAGGACCGACTTGGGACCATCTCGGGGTGCTCCAGGGCCTTCTTGGAGGCCATCTTGGGCGCCTTGGAGGCCTCTTGGGCCGTCTTGGGCCGGGGCCTCTTGGGCCGTTCTCTCGGGGCCATCTCGGAAGGCTAAGGCCTCTTGGGCGATCTTGGCCAATCTTTGATGGCTCTTGGGCTGTCGTGGGCCGTCGGAAGATCGGAAAGAAGCAAATGCCCAAATCCTTCAAAAACCTAGGGAACATCACTGATTTGGTCCTCTTCGAGCCTTCCTGGGGGCCCTCTTGGGGGCATCTGGGGCCGTCTTGGAGACCTCTTGGAGGTCTCTTGGGCAGTCTTGGGCAATCTTCGAGCAACCTTGGGCCGTCTTGATGGCTTCCTGGCCCGTCGGACGCCGTCGGAAGCAGTCTGGGGGGCCTCTCTGGGCCGACTCAGGGCCCTCGTGGAGTGCTCCAGGGCCGTCTTGGAGGCCTCTCGGGCTGTCTTGGGGCCCTCTCGGGACAGTCTCGGGGGCCTCTTGGGCCGTTCTGGGGCCTTCTTGGAGGCCTTTTGGGCGATCTTGGGGCGACCTTTGGGGGCTCGTGGGCCGTCTCGGGCTGTCGGAAGGCAGAAAAGAAACAAATGCCCAAATCCTTCAAAAACCTAAGGATCATCACTGATGTTGGCCTCTTCTGGCCTTCCTGGAGGACCTCTTGGAGGCCCCTTGGGCAGTCTTGGAGACCTCTTGAGGGCCTCTTGGGCCGTCTTGGGCCATCTTAGAGCCATCTTGGGCCGACTTGGTGGCCTCCTGGCCCGTCTGACACCCTCGGAACCTCTCTGGGCCGATTTGGGGCCCTCTTGGGGCCGTCTTGGAAGACAGATTGGGCGTCTTGGAGACCTCTCGGGCCGTCTTAAAGCCCTCTTGGGGCCGTCTTAGGGAGCCTCTTGGGCCGTTCAGGGGCCATCTTGGAGGCGTCTTCGGCGATCTTGGGGGGCTCTTGGACCATCTCGGGCTGTCGGAGAAACGAAGAGAAGCAACTGCCAAACTCTTTCAAACACCGAAGGACAATCGATGTTGTTGGCCTCTTCGGGCCTTTCTGGAGAACCTCTGGGATGCCTCTTGGGCCGTCTTGGAGTTCTCTTGGGAGTCTCCCCCTAGGCCATCTTGAAACTATCTGAGGTCGTCTTGGATGCATCTTGGGCCGTCTTGGAGGCATCTTGGGACCATCTTAGCCGTCTTGGAGGCCATCTTGGCCGTCTTGGACCATCTTGGAGGCCATCTTGGGCTAACGTGCCCATCTTGGAAGCCATCTTCAGCCGTCTCGGAGGATGTTTGGGGGACGTTGAGGTCGTTTCCGGGCCTTCCGCAGGGCAGGCGGGACAGGCCGAAGCCCCAGGGAGAGTTCTTTTGGAACAAAAACAGAACCAAGAGGATATGACTCAGCATGCCAGGCACCTCTGTGGCAACAGGGGGCGGCGGATCGAAGACGCCTACGGCGAATCACCGCCGCCCCCTGTCTTTTTGGAAGCGCCTATGTGGCCGAACGTTGAGGCCAGACCTGCCAAGCTATCGGATCATATGTTCCCCGAATCGGTTTGGAAAACCTTCGGGGAACACGTGGGCATCTTGAAGGTCATCTTGGTCGTCGGGAGGCCATTTTGACCCTTTCGGGCCTTCTTGGAGGACGTTTTGGAGGGCTCTTGGGCCGTTTTGGAAGCCATCTTGAGCGTCTTGGAGGCTTCTTGGGCCGTCTTGGGAGCCTCTTGGGGCAGTCTTGGGCCTATTGGGCGATCTTTGGGGGCACTTGGGCCGTCTCGGGCCGTCGGAAGGTCGAACAAACAGTAAATGCTAGAATCCTTAAACAACAACTCAGGGGAAATCTATGATTTGGCCTTTTCGGGCCTTTCTGGAGGCCCTCTTGGAGGCCTCTTGGGCCGTCTTGGGCCATCTTAGGGCCATCTTCGGCCGTCTTGGTGGGCTCTTGGCCCGTCCGACGCCGTCGAAGCAGTTTGGGGGGCCTCTCTGGGCCGACTTGGGGCCTCTTGGAATGCTCCAGGGCCGTCTTGGAGGCCGTCTCGGGTGTCTTAAAGGCCTCCCGTCCGTCTTGGGGCCCCCTTTGAGCAGTCTTGGAGGCCTCTTGGGCCGTTCTGGGCCCATCTTGGAAGCCTCTTGGGCGATCTTTGTGCGATCTTCAGGTGCTCTTGGGCCGTCTCGGGCCGTCGGAAGGCCGAAAAGAAGCATATGTCAAATTCCTTCAAGCACCTTAGGCAAATCAATGTTTTTTGTCTTTTCTGGCCTTCCCGGAGGCCCACTTGGAGTCCTCTTGGGCAGTCTTGGGCCAGCTTCGAGCCAACTTCGGCAATCTTGGTGGGTTCCTGGCCCGTCTGACGCCGTCGGGAGCCGTCTTGGGGGCCTCTCTGAACCGACTTCGGGTCCTTTTGGGGCACTTCAGGCCGTCTTGGAGGCCATCTTGGGCGTCTTGGAGATTTCTTGGGCCGTTTTGGTGCCCTTTTGGGGCCGTCTTGGAGGCCTCTTGGGCCGTCATGGGGCTCTCTTGGAGACATCGTGGGCGATTTTGGGGCTCTCTTGGAGGCATCGAGCGACAGCGGTATGCTTGTGTATGTTACGACGGACATGGTTTCCGATTTGACGGTGTTATATTCTTCTTCGCTGGAGAATTTCACGTGTGTTTAAAAAACAGTGTGAGATCCATATGAAAGCCACACGTGTTCATGTGAGGTTCTGGCGCGGCAAAACAGGTGAGCACCCTTACCAACTTGATGATTCATGCTTCTGTCTGGTTCAACCCCTGGATCACATTCCCAGGGTCACTCAATCCTCTTGCGCCCCAGTAAGTTGAAGCATGTGTGCTTAGAGCTGCACTTGCTTTAGCTTTTTCTTTCGCGGGGAGGAGAGTGGCAGGTTAACGCAACGATGAAGAATTAAAGTAGCTTTGGGCACCCACGCATCGCAAGTACAGATGGAAGCTGGGACTTGGATTTCAGCAAGGTGGTTGACTTAATAACATTTCTTCGCGCCTGTCGTGATGGAGCAGTGGCCGACACAACGCAGTGTGTGTATACCGCGCGCGCGTCAGGTAGTTGTGCTAGACTGGTATGTTTGTCCCCACCATGTCGCCCTCGCAAACTGGGAAGCGGAAAGGGGGAGACGTGGGACGCTGGGCGGGGTTCTGATCGAGTTGGGGCGTCGTTGGGAGAAGCGAAGAGATTGTTGTTCAAGGTTCTCGTGATCACCCATGTCATCGGGCCCACCCGACCCCCCCGTCCTCCCCGAGAACCTGGCTTTGTCGGGTGCGCAGGGCCGAAAGGGGTGCGCAGTGTTGGTGCGCGCGGGCATGCGCTGTGCTGCCCCGAGCAAAACAATCCTGTGGCAGCTCACTTCCTCCCCGCCCCCATTGGATAATCTGGGCTATCGCAGAAAATATAGAACGATCTCGTGGGCGGTACATTCCGCCAGAAATGTTGGTCGCGGGCGCGGGCGCGATTTACACCGAGAAGCGATCGGGACCAGCAGGCGAGAAGGTAGACACAGGGTTTGCCGAGCGTGCTGTCTGAAGGAAGGTGGGTCTGGGTATAAACCAGCGTCAGAGATAGGAACGAACGTTTCGAGGCTCAGCTGCCCTGATGCGCCGTGTTGGAATGCACCGCCTTCCGTGTTCAAAACCTCAAGGTGAACACGTTGCGTGCTGGCTCGGCACGTGTCGGTCCACGTTTTGGTGAACGCATCGCGCTGGACCTACGTTTTCAGTCTACTCCGAGAGTCTTCATAAGCGTCGGGGGGGCGTCACCCCCGCCGACAGCTCCACATCGACCCCCGTCGCGGCGCGACGACGAGGCGAGGTCGACCCCCGTCGGGGGGGTACCCTCCACGCCTTATTAAGAAACCCAGAGCGCATGCCGAGTTCCGTGTCAGCGCGCGACTCGTGTTGCGTGCTGCGCTTCGGGGCAGCTATAAGTTTCGAGGCGCTTTTGGGGTGGGGCATCCGTGGTGCGAGGCCAGCCAGACCGCGGCCGTGGGCGGGCCCATCGACGTGGACTCGGAGCCCGAGGCGGAGCCCGCCGAGAGGCCCGGAGGAGCGCGGGCGGGGCCGCAGGCGGGCCTGACCGTCGCCGCGGATGTTGGTAAAATGTAGCTTCCACCACCGGAAAGAATTTCGAGCACCAAGAAGGAATCGAAACTTGAGGGTTCTCACGCGTCGGGCACTGGGAGGCGAGAAACTCGTCCGACACCGTTTTGATACTCTTCAGGGCGCTCGCGACATGATTCCCCAATCAGAGCTTGCCTCTGTAGGGGTCCTAGCGGATTCATATGGTTAGGGCAGGTTTGCCGCCGATTTTCGCCGCACGCCCGGGTGCCCGGGTGCCCGGGGGTGCCCGGGGGTGCCGAGGTGCCCGGGTGCCCGGGCGTGCCCGGGGATGCCCAGGTTCCCGCCCGGTAGCCTTATAGCCTTCTAACCCTAGAGCCTTATAGCCTTGTAGCCCTATAGCCCTCTAGCCCTATAGCCTTATAGCCCCAATAGCTTTATAACCCTATATCCCTAATCTCTCCATAGCTTCATGCCCTTATAACCCTATAGCCCTATAGCCCTATAGCCCTATAGCCCTATAGTCCTACAGCCCTAGCCCTCTAGCCCTATAGCCCTATAGCCCTATAGCCCTATAGCATTATATCCCTATAGCCCTATAGCCATTTGGCCCCATAGCCCGGTATCATTAAACATATTATGATCGTTTTGTTTCTCTAGTATCATTTCTGGGAGGTGGTCCTTGAGCACGATGGGAGCAACATGATATTGGTATGTCATTCGCCGCTCAAGGTTAGGATGGCGACACATTTCCAATTTCACGCTGGGTTGGGAGCCGTCTGGGGGTTCTGAGGTGGCCCAGCACTGGTTCTGGCCAGCAGGAAGGACGGACAGATTCGAGGTGTCGGGTGCGGGCAAGTTGTTTGTTTTCTTCTATCTCCAGGGACCCTTTTCGGGCCCGGGGATGATGAAAAACGGATCTGGAGGGAAACATTGCACCAGATGGGTCCTGGCAGCTGGGACGGGTCCAGGGGGCCAGATTTCGAGCTGATTTGGTATCATCCCCTCCCTCCTGACCGATTATTTGTTATTTGGTGCCCCAACCAGTTCGGACCCCTTGGCCGCCTCCAACGGAGGGCGACACATTTCCAGTCTCACTCTGGTTCGCCCGCTTCTGGGCCGAGCAGTCCAGCCCATGGGTTGACCTTGCGTGGGCCTGCATGTGCGGAGGAGCGAGATCTAGATTTGGACAGGCTTTGTGTGCGTGTGTTCATTCAGGCTCCCGGGCGGTTGCGGAAATTATGGCTGGCCGAGTTCGGTCTGGCAGGCCACGTGGTGAACGGAACGCAGAGGAGCCCCCTCCGCTGTCCGGGGCCACCTCCCCTCCGGATCCTGCGCGCGGGAGCTGGGCCGGCCAGCGCAAGAAACGCGCAGCGGCCGCAAGGCAGGACGTGGCGAACCGATGCCACACGCCCGCATGCACGACATTCCTGAGAGCTCGCTGCTGTCGTCTTTCGAGCATCGGTGGGGCCACGCGCCCACACGAATGTCTATTCAAGAGGTTTGCGCTATTCCGCCGACCCTCAGACGAAGAAGGGACGACGATGTTACACCCACGCTGGGCTAACGTATCGTTGGGAAGGGCAACGGCCAATCATCTAGCGCGACTCTGCAGTCCAGGGAAGCGGACGTCGGCTGACTCAGACAACGATGCAAGAGGCTCCCTCTTCCATGGGGAGCCCTCCTCTGCAGAGGGGCGAATAGGAGGGATCAGAAGGACCTCGTCTGGACGATATGAGCACTACATAGCAAGCCAGGCTTCGCGTCCAAACTGAAACCCACAGGGAAACACGCACCACACTTTGGGGAAGCCCTCTGAGCAATCGGGACAGGACACCAGCCCCAGCTGTGTTGGGGCCAGAGGAGGGCCTGCCCTCCTCAGAGCGTGCCAGGGCCGGCAGGCCAGTCTCCTGGGCGGTCTTCACAGCGTACCGCTCACAGGATTGGAAGAACAATACTCAGAGTTTCTGAATAAGCGACGGGGGGGCGTCACCACCGCCGACGGCCCCACATCGACCCCCGTCGCGGGCAGCCACCGCGCGCCAAAGGCGCTCCGACCCCCGTCGCGGCGCGACGACGAGGCGAGGTTGACCCCCGTCGGAGGGGTACTCCAGATTTCGTAATAAAAGGGAGGGGGTCTGAACCCTCCAAGACAAGCCATTTCAGACCCCCCCCCGTGGGAGAACCCTCCAAAAACATCGTCCCCACACCCACCCAGGCCCTCCAAGATGGCCTGGAAGAGACCCCCCCCGAAAGAAGACCCCCTCCCTTTTATTACGAAATCTGGAGTACCCCCCCACGCTTATCAAGAAACCCAGAGCATTCTTCGGGAATCCGACCACATGTGGCAGGAGTGGGCCCGCAGCACGGCGGCAGGGTGGGCAAAACACTCCGTCGCGGCCTTCTTGCTGCCGAAGCGCCGGCGAGCCCAGACAGCTCGCTGGCCAGAAATGGCGCACCTGACCTCGCTGGGCTTCGAACCTCAAAGTGCAGACAGGGCAAGGGAAACGCTGGCCCACAAGGCGTGGGGGCATGCCCTGCAGCTTCCAGTCGTTGTTTTGGAGTGGCATCGGAGGGGGGGAGCACGAGCACGAGGTGGGGGGCGACCCACGCGGTCAACTGTCCAACTTCGAGAGTGACGCCAAGGAAGCGCTGCAGCACGCGGGAGGTCATGTTGTCAACCTCGTTCACAGCATCAGCATCACTGTCGGACATTTCTCCTAAAGCGGCGGCCTTCCCGGCAACATAGTGAGGGCAACAATTCAAGAGCAATTCGGCGTCAGACAGTCCCCGAGCAACGCGCAGAAGCCTACCGGAGTGGGCCTTGGTCCGGAGAGTCTCGGCATGCCCGCCACGAGCGTTGATGAGATCCCAGATGCGAACCCACAAATCCAACATGGGGGTGGTCCTGGACACATACTGTCGGCCTCGTCTTAGGCCCCGAGCGAGCGGGAGAAAATCAGTATAAGCCACAGCAGGGCCCGAGGCATGAGTGAGCAACACGATGAACGCGTACAGCTCGCACCGTGCGCTCGACTGAGCCGTCGTTGGAAGGGCGTTCATCTTCACAGCATCACATCTGAATTCAAAATCGTGGATACCCTCTTAATCGAAACATGCGACCGACCAGCCACCACGACGTAACCGGTGATCTTCAGCATACGTACCGCGATAACCAGCCAATCCAGATCTGCCTCCTCTCACCACATTCCCGTCGGAACAAAGACCCCAACACTGCATAATGCTGCGAGGTGAGGGAAGAGGGAGGGATTAGAATGAGGAGGAGGAGGAGGAGGAGGAGGAGGAGGAGGAAGAGAAAGAGGAGGAGGAGGAGGAGGAGGAGGAGGAGGACCAGTAGTGGGACGAGGAGGAGGAGAAGGAGGAGGCACGGAATAGCATAAAGATGATACGTGGGGAAGGGCTGGCGAGGAGGTGGAACGGGTTGACGAGAAGCAACAGGCCGAGCGGGAACATCAAACTGGGACCTGTGTTTTTTTTGGGGGGGGGTGGGGTCGCAGGCGTCATGGTCGGCCACTGTGCTTGGGCTGCGTGTGGGTCAGGGGCCTCTTGGATGCATGTGAGGGTCTCTCGAGATGCCTCTCAAGGGCCTCTTGTAGGGCCCTTTGGGGGCATGTGTGGGAGGGGGCTCCTGGGGGCCTCAGAAGGGGGGCCTCCTGGAGGCCTCCTGGTGGCCGTCTTGGGAGCGCCTCGGGGGCCTCTGGGGCACTTTCGGGCTTAGTTTTTGTTGGGGGAAGGCCCGACATGCCAGTTCGTCCTCCTGGGCGCTTCTTGGGGCCCTCTTGGGCCGTCTTCGAGTGGAGGCCCGTGCCAAACAGCACCCCGCTTGCCTCCAGGGTGCCCTGGGTTTCGTGTGGTTCCGATGGTTTTGCGATGGACGGCGTGACGTTCCCACACTAACTGTCAGTGGACGCCTTGGGGTCTCAGGGTTGGGTGTCTTGTGGGGCGTCTCTTGCGGTCGAGCTCCTACCGCAGGGGCCCCAGCCTGGGGGGCCCTCTCAGGCCGCCTTGGGGCTCTTTAGGGGTCATCTTGGGGCGGCCCTGTGGGCACCTTGCAGGGCTCATTTCGATTCCTCCGATTCGATTCGATTCGATTTCGATGGCCTCAGATTCCGATTCCGATTCGATTCCGCTTCAGATTCCGATTTGGGCTCCGAGTTCTCAATGGAGGGCTGCTAGCCTGCCGATTTCCGCCGATTCGACTTTTCCCGACTCGGCTGCCGATTTCCGCCGATCCGATTCATTTCGATCGCCGATCAGATTTATCGATTCGATTCTGGGATCTCCTGCCCTTGGGGACATCGTGGACGCTGTGAAGGCGAACAAGGCGAGTATGTTCAAAATGTACGTTTTGCGACGGAGATGGGGCGATTCTTGCTTCGTGGGGCCCTCTCGGCGGTCCTCCTGGAGCGCTCTCAGGCCGTCTTGGGCGCCTCCTGGGTCGTCTTGAAGCCCTCTGGGACGGTCGTGGGGCTACCCTGCGCCGTCTCGACGTTCTCTTGGACTGTCTCGGCGCTCCGTCTTGGCTCTCTGGGGCCGCCTTGGGGCACTTTGCATGCTCCGGAGGCCCTAGGGGCGCGTTGACGAATTCGTCCCCCCCCCTCCCAAACGGGACTGGCATTTGGACCCGCGATGGCGTGGGGCCAGGAGACGAAGCGTGCCGCAGCCTCCTTGGAGATGTGAGGGCGTTTCTCGGCGGCGCGCATGGGGGAAGTGAGAGGCGGCAGACCTCCTCAGAAGGCGGCGGGGCTCCTCGCGACCCTGCGAGCAGCCGTCTGTGTCCTCGCAGAAGGCTTAGGAGGGTTCTCGGAAGGCGGGAGGGCTTCCGAGACGCCCCGCCCCCCTCTCGGAGGGCCCGTCCTGGCTCTCTGTTTCCCCCCCTGGGCTCGCCGCCCCGTTTGGGCGGCGAGGGGCTTGGGCCTCCGGCAGGATGGCCTGGGCGTAAGGGATGATGGGCTTGCTTTCCACCACCACCACCACCATAAGTTGGAGGTGGGAAGGAGGTGGAGGAGGAGGAGGAGGAGGAGGAGGAGGAGGAGGAGGAGGAGGACGAAGAGGAGGAGGAGGAGGAGGAGGAGGAGGAGGAGGAGGAGGACCCCCTCCCCCTCAAACTTGCGGTGGTGGTGGTGAAAACAGGCCCATCAAGGGAGGGACATGCTGCTTCCCGGGCACGGCCGTCAACCCGCAGCGAGAGCGCGCGGCGCCGACCGTTGGGTCCGCCCCTCGTGCGCAGACAGCGCGCCCGCCGTGCACGAACCGACGGCTCTCATATGGACGCCTCGACATGCCATGCGCCAAGGGAGGGGCTCTGTTTTCCGACGTTCTCGTCTGTTCCTGGAGGGTTTCCAGCCGCGGGGTGCTTCCCGGAAGCCACGCCACACCGAGAGGGTTCCAGGGGGGGCCCAGATCGTCCCGAACGCCCGCCGGAAGCCCGAACTGTCGGCGACGTGCCCAGGGGGGGGGGAGGGCAAAGGGGGCAGGCCCTCTCCGAAAGCTCAGAGGGCCTCCGGCCTTCTGAGCAGCTTTCCCAGCCTTCTTCGAAGCCGCGTGGGGCTTCTCAGAGGGCCGTGGGGGGACTTCTGACAAGCCCCGCCCGCCCCCTCCTCCTCCTCCTCCTCCTCCTCCTCCTCCTCCTCCTCCTCCCTCCTCCTCCTCCTCCTCCTCCTCCTCCTCCTCCTCCTCCTCCTCCTCCTCCTCCTCCTCCTCCTCCTCCTCCTCCTCCTCCTCCCCCTCGGCGCGCCGCCGAGTGGGGGGCCCCACGGGGGCCGCCCCGGGGGATCGTCTCTCTCTCGGCCGCGGTCGGCAGGAGTGGACGCCTCGGTTCTGGCCGCGCTCCCGGCCAGCGTCCGGGCCGAGGTGCTCGCGCAGCTGGCTCCGCAGGAGCAGGCAGAGTGCGGGAGGGAGAGCGGGCGGAGCGCGACTGACGCGTGGAGCGGCACACACTTGAGAGTCTGAGTGGGCTTTCGGTCCTCAGCCGCCCGCCCCTCCCCTCTGACTGCATGCATGGCTTGGTCGGCCGGTCTTGCTCGGTCGACTGCTCGGTTGAGAGTGCGGCCCGTTTTGGGCAGTCCTGCAGCTCGGGTTTGTGGCCGTCTGTCTGAAGGGACGCTTGGCAGGGTGGCCTGGCTACTTGGTTGGCCGAAGTGCTGGTTGGCAGGCACGCTGGCTGTGGTAAAGCTGGCTGCGGGTCCGGAGCGCTGATTCACCCTTCTTTCAGGAGGGAAAGAAACACACAGACACAATGAATCGTCGATTCCCTAGAGAATATGCGAACATATGGGAAGTGGGGGGGAAGACAAACACCCAGAAAATATCGGAAAATATGGGGCATCTGGTTATTTGTGTGTATTTATTTGTGTCCCAGTGCCCCTTCATTCTTGACAGGGGAGCGTGGCCTCGAACGCGCGGGGCCATCGTGTCTCACGAGGGGTCGTGGCCGAGAAGGCGCAGATCAGTAATTCTGTTGGTGGGCATCGGGGTCTCGAAGACGAGGGCCCACATTCGTGTGCGAAGGGCCGTGGCCTGGCCTCGAGGTCGCGGTCCCGCAGTGGCGTTACGAGGGACCGTTGCCTAGAGGGCATGGGTCACTCGTTTCTTTTCCGAAGGATCGTGACATCGAAGGTGTAGGTCCATGGGTTCTGAAGAAGCCTCGTGGCCTCGAAGACGAGGACAAGTTTCAACGAGTCATCGTGGCCTCAACGGCGCGGCTCCATATTCTCTGTTACGAGGGATCGTGGCCGTGAAGGTGCGGATCATTTTTCAACATGCGAGCGAAGCCTTGAGTACGCTGATCCATGGTTATTACCAAGGGATCGCGGCCTCGCAGTCGTGGATCTACAGTTCTTTTACATGCCTCCATACACCCAGCAGCTCGAGCAACGTGGTTCGGGGTTGCGCAGACTATGCGTGCGGGCCCCAGGGTTTCTCAACCAGTTGCAACCCCACCTTTGGTAGGGCCCGACAACGAAATAGTGGCTTTCAAGTAGCTGACCTTCTAAGCTACTTGCAACATTGCGAATTGCTTCATTGCGCTGGTGAGAACTAAGCGTCCCAGCTGTGGATATCTCACCAGCGCAGCCTGATATTCCCCACAAGGGGAGCAGGCGAATGTTAAGTGCCTTGGTAGTTGTACAGTCTGAGCGTCCGTGTGCAAAGATAACCAGGCGCACTGCAGAACTTAACACTGGAGATCGCAGGAACACACGGGTCTTTTGTGCAACATGGTATCGGAACGTGCACAGCATGGTACGTACAGGAATTTGCGCACGGGGTTGGGGTCTTCGACAGGATGATCTTCAAAGGGTGAGCGTGGCGGCTGGATGGGGGTTATGCTTCCTGGGCCACACGTAAGTGGGGCTCCATGTGGGCACATGGGTTTTGGCCTTTTCTGGCAGGGGGTAGTAGATGCACAGGGCGTGTGCCATCTTGGCTGTATGTAATTGGTATTCTCGACGAACGGTCCAGGGGGTGTGTACTGGATGGTAGAGTTTTCGCGATATGTTTTTGCGAAAGCCCCTCCTTCACACCTACACGGAAAGAAGGATTAGGTTGGCGAAGCCCGGCTACGGAAGCGTTGCGGATAGTCCAATTGCCCATTGACATGCAGAATGCATATAGAATAATACATCGCCCTGCCAGAAGGTACCCCACGGACAATCATTCACCCCTGATGGCCCTTGGGACCCACAGAAGTTCAGCGGCTACTTAGGGCCTCAAGATATCTTTCGTTTCGCGGGGTGCACGTCCAGAGCACGTTGGGACTGGGCGTTGGGTGGTTCGCCCTGCTCGTCTGCCGCGCTGTTCTGCCGCGTCGTTCTGCCCGCCTGGTGGCGCTGGCAGCGCCACGGGGGACGAATGCGCCCTCCCCCGTTTCAGCGCTGGGACGAGTGTGCGAATGTCCACGAGGGCAATGAGCATTTACCGCACCGCCTGTCAGAACAAGGCACGCCAAGTTCAAACTCCGATGAGCATAGCAACAACGCACTCTTGGTGGTTTCTTGGCGCCGTTTGGGAGTTTCTCGGGGGCTTCTTGGAGACCTCGTGGGGGCCTCTTGGGGGCATTTTGGGGGCCTCTTAGACCTTTTGGGGGCCTCTTGGGCCGTCTTGGGGCGTTTTTCGCCGCCTGGCCTCTCGGAAGCCCTCTTGGGAGCCTTTCCAGGCCGCCTTGTGGCTCTCTCGGGGTTCCTCTTTGGCCGTCATGGAGGCCTCTGTAACCGTCGTGGGGGCCTCTTTGGGCAATCATGGGGCCCGCTTGGTCTGGCCCTCTTGGGGGCAGCTGTGGCTGGAGCTCTTCTTGGAGCCCTCTGGGGCTGTCCTGGAGGCCTCTTGGGCCGTCTTGGGGCCATCTTGGGCCGTCTTGGAGGCTCTGTTAAGCCATTTGGAAGCCACTTTGGGCGCCCAGGAGCCCCCAGAGAACATTTGTTTCGATTTTGGCATCTGTTTGGGGCCGGGGGGCGTCACGATGGGTCGGCGGATAGGAGGGGCACAACATACTGCAAACTATTACAGCACGTATCAACTTGGCAATCATTCGATGTACGGGATGCGTTGCACCCGGGCCTCCGCTCATGCGGCGCGCGAAGTTCGAGCCAGGAGCGCGGGAAGGATGGGGGTCTGGCGCGGGCCCGTCGAGTCCGCGTAGACCTCCGGGCGTTTGTGCTGATGCGGGTGCCTGCCCGCGCCCCGCAGAGGGTGGGCGCGAGACGGTGCGGGCCTTCTCGGACGAAAGGCGCGGAAGGCTTCTGGCCTTCTAGGAGGTGCCCTGAGCCTTAAGCCGATCCCCGGCAGACGGCGCGCACTCCTCGGAAGGCCAGAGGGCTTCTGAGAGGCCCCGCCGGCTTGCTGGGCAAGGCCTGCTCCGGATCGCGACCCCCCCCCTCTCGGTTCGCCGCCGCGCAGATGTCGCAGCGGAGGGCCCCCCGACCCGGCACAAGCCTGGAGGGTTCCAAAGAGGGTTTTGGGGGGAGGGGGTTTTCCAGAGAGCCCCCCAGTGGCCTCGGAACCTTGTCAAAGCAGGGGGTGCGAAGCCCCTGGGGGACCGCTCCTGGAGAACCGCCTCCCCCCAAAAATCCTCTTTGGAACCCTTCGGCAAGCGGCGGGCGGGGCGCAGGCGAAGCTGCAGGAGCAGCTGCGCGGGACCGCGGCGCCGGGGCGCCCGCCGCTGCCCACCCCCGCGCGTGCGCCGCCGGCCGCGCAGGCCGCCAAACGCAGGCGTGGGGCGGGTCCGTCAGGGGGCGGGGCGTGGGCTAAGCTCAGAGGAGGAAAAGGGTACAGATACCGCTGCCCTTTGTTCCTCGTTTTCGCCTCTGTGGGCCTCCTGGGAGGCTCTCGTCGCCACCGCTGGATTGGCCCCGAAGTGCTGGAAGTGCTGGTCAGAACGCACCCCAGGAGAGGCCCAGGGAGTAGCGGTATCGGTGCCGCTGTGCCTCCCCATAAACGGTGTTTTGGCGATTTCGTGGACAGTTGTCGTGTTGTTTTCGCGCAGCCGCGCAGTGAAGTCAGGGTAGCGTTATGATGTTTCAACCTATTTTAGCCTTGGCCACCAGAAATAATTTCGAACACCAAGAATGTACTGAAGCTGGAGGGTTTTCACGTGTCGGGCCCTGGGAGGCGATACTCGTTCGACATTGTTTCGATTATTTAGGCTTACACCGCATCCGCCGACCCCTGTATAAACTATTGCGCCTCCAGGACTGCATTTCACGTGGCTTGTCCGGATCATGACACGGCGCTCGACATCGTTTTTGTTGCTTCGTTGTTGTTATCGTACCTCTTGGTGCTCTGTTGTGGCCTTTTGGTCGCATCTTGGTCTTTCTGCAGGCCATATCCGGCCGCTTCGAGGCATCTTGGGACAAGTTTTGGGGCCTCTTGGGGGCTTCTCCGAGGCTTCTTGGGGGCCTTTGAGGTTCTCTTGGGGGTTCCTCAGGGCCTCTTGGGGTGTTCTTGGGGCAGGCTGGGGGCGTCTTGGGGCCGAAGGCTCGAAAAAGTGCCCTCTGGACTTCCTCCTGGAGCCGTCTGGGGGCCCTCTTGGGCTGTCTTGGGGGTTTCGTGGGCTGTTTTTGGACCCTTTTCGACCCTTCTTGGGGGCCCCTTCGGCCGTCCGGGGGCGATGTTGAAGGTTTCTTTGCCCGTCTTGGACGTGGTGAAAACCGACACGGCGAGTACGCGAAAAATGCTGTTTTTTCCCCAAGGGAATGGGACGATGTTTGGGGTGTCTTGGACGCTCCGTGGGGTGTCTTGGCGGCCTCTTGGGCTATTTTGAGCTCATCTTGGGCGTCTTGGAGCGATCTTTCGGCGACTTGGAGTTCTCGTGGACCGTCTTGGCGGCTTCTTGGGAGGCGTCAAGTGCAGTCGTGCAGCTCAAGAGCGATCCCAGGGAACCCAGACCGCCCCGGATGAGTTCGGTCCAGGGCCGACCCAGGCTGGTGCTGAAATGATCATCGGATTGTGTGCAACGCTTGTGGTTTGCGGATCGGAGGGGCTGTGGCCAATCAGCAACGTTCGAAGTGGCGAGCAAAAGGCAGGGGGAAGGCAAGGAGGAGTGTGGTCGGGAGAGGAGGAGGTGAGAGAGGAGAGGGGACGGGGACCAGGGGGGAGAGGGGAGAGGGGAGAGGGGAGGAGGGAAGAGAACGAGAGGGGAGAGGGGAGGAGGGGAGAGGGGAGAGGGGAGAGGGGAGGAGGGGAGAGGTGAGAGGGGAGAGAGGAAAGGGGCAAGCTAGGTGCGCTCGCGTCATATATGTCGTTATACCACTTCTCCCAACCCTTACCATGGCGCAGATATCCTCTTCAGGCGCGCAGGCTGATGTCGAGCAAGGCAATGTTCCCGAGAGGGTTTGCGATGCATGGTAAAGCACGGCGTAGCAGGCATAGCACGGTGTAGAAGAGCGCGGTAGAGCAAAGCGTGTCATAGCATGGTTTAGCATTGCGTATA